GTCAAGAAATGTGTATAGAAGAGGCCAAGACATTTTATTTCTACATTATCCCCCTACCCTTCCCCACAAGGGAATCTGAATGCCCAAAGCCTGAAAAGTGTCCAGCACATGAGGGCTGTGATTTTCATGTAAGAAGTGGAGCTTGATATCCTTGCTTCTTATACATCTCTTCTAAGATCACTCTTCCTACCTGCAAATTTCAAATCTAGTCTTATCAAAATAGGACACCTCTGTTTATTGGTCATGTTATGCCATAATTCATTCAACCAGAGTTTGTCAGCATGGTTCAGAGATCCCACTGAACCATAATAAACAATGATTTATAAGTCACAATGGGTGGTTTCAGCACTATGTTAAATTAAATCAAGCCACATTAATGGGTGAAGCACATGACCTAGCTCAGCTTTCCCAACAGGAGAAGAGTCTGTATGTTTAAATGTATGTGTGTATATAGATAAAAGCACACGAGACTGTTCAGGGCAACAGCAACATCATTTAATTTCACCAAGGGAGTCACAGGAAGAGAATTGTGAATGTGGAAGAGTGCAAACTGGTGATCCTGGCCTTTGGAGAAGGAGTGCAAATGGCTTTTTGTGCAGCACACATATAGAAGCATGTAAGGAGCAGAGAACTAGACAGGTCCAAGAGGGATGAAGTTGAGTTTTTAATTTAACATTCATAAATGAGAAAATGCAGGCATTCTTTTCAAGAGAAGAAAGAAAAACACAACACCCGTGGACGCCATTGCAAACTTGCCCCAACTCTGAAAAGAACAAGAACCGTAGTTCAAGAGGAGTTGGGAGGAACATGATCTAGTCCTGCTTTAGCATGGATGAAACATACCCAAAGATCCAGCTTGTATTAACACTACAGTGGAGTGGAAGGGGGAATAAAGTGCTGGAAAATTTTCAACAAGGATAGAAAGTAGGGAATTCTATATTCCCAAAAGAACATGCTCAGACACCAACAAAAGAGAAAGCAACAACTCCTTGGTTAGGGAGTATAATACAACTGCAACCAAAGCCTGATGAATGTTCTTCACTGTTTTTACAATAAACTGTGATTATGTCTTTAAGCGAGAAAATCTCCTCAGAGTTCAGCAAGGTAAAGACACAGACATCATGTCACAGTTAACAAAGGTCAAGGACACCAGTATTGGTAGTAAGAGAACTGGATTTAAGGAGTGCTCTTAATCACCCCCCCATAAAATAAATAAAACTTCCCACCCAAATTTCTACTTATCTCT